CTCCGCAGGTGGCGCAGACAGGTGAGCCGACTTGCACCTCGCCTAGCTGTTCTTTTTCAACCATCTCCGATGGTTGCTCTACGGGCGATTGTTGGACGTTTACTGCCGGGTTTACAACGGCCAAGACACGCGTCTGTGCTTCGAGGTTGATGCACACGGTGTCAACTACGTCTAGGAGTGACTTTCCCCTGACTGACATATTCGTATACCACGTCCGCCACTGGGGTGACGCGGCGCGCCTAACACGCATGTCGAGCCCTGCGCGGGTTATTGTCTCCGTGAGACCCCATCTACGCGCTAGTCTCACATAGCGGGCAATTCTAGCTAATAACACGTCGGAGAGCTGCACGAAGTCGTTCGGCAAGACCGTCAGCGCCGCGACATACGCCTCCATGGCATATGTCGACGTCGGAAAGAGAAGACGCGCTACGTCCGAAATGAACTGTTCCACGGGTATGCCGAGACCCCGGTCTACCCTTGCGAGGCGCTGTCGCTTCGCGGGAGGTATTTGCGTCAAAAGCACCTCTATCATACTTTCTAAACCCACCACTTCGTCGACCCAGTCTTCGAAGTGTTCCTCATTGTCGACTCTCATCGGCGGCAAGGGCTTCGCGGTGACCTTGGCGATCCAGTCATCCTTTGCAGACTGTTTTGCGATGACTCTCGTATTCACAAACCGCGATTCCTCGATGAAGCCCACGTCCGCAGCAACCCGTCCAGTAGCTGTCGCCATTGATGTGTCCTGTTGGGTGCTGGGGACGGCCTGCTAATGCTGAGCTCGTCGTCTGAGTCGCGGTTCAGGGGTATCGCGTCAGGAGTGTGTGTCGCCATGTTGCCCTCTGTTTCCCTTACATCAAAAACTCGGTTGCCGGCCTGTCATTGAGCTGTTATGTCTCGACGCACCAGCGGGGACACCCTGAGCTTACAGTGGAAGAAAAGAATATTCTCACCTTGGTTGGGGTGTTCAAAAATTAGGTTCAATAATCCAAGGTGAAAAAATGGCCGGTACATCTTCTACGCGAACATGCCAACGTCCACAGCCTGGAGCTGTTCTCGGTTTTCTTCCGCCATCGCTCCTTCAGCTTCCCCTCCACCGACAAACTCTCCACCTCCGAGCGCACTGGGGAACACACCGGACTGAACTGCAGCATACGCCGCAGCACCAAGCACTGCCACGCTCCCACCCGCGGCGGCCAAGCCGATGACGGTAGTATTCTGGTCGCTGGGAGGCTCCACGGGAGCTGTGGTGTGAGGCACAGTTGGTTGGATAGAAATTGTGCGAGTGGATGTCGAAGGTGTGGTAGTCAGCTCTGAAGGTGTGGTAGTCAGCTCTTCCGCATCTGTAGTCATTTCAGCCGCAGTCGCGGTGGTCCCGGTGTCACTAACGGGAGTGCTTGTCTGCTCGCCGTCGGGAATCGTGGTCTGTTCGGAGTGTTGGCTTCCGTAGCTCCAGTGGCAGCGACAGTTTCAGGAGTTCCAGCGGGAGTGGTAGTCTGTGTGGGTTGTGTCTGCAGCCGGGTTCTAGGAGTGGTGGTAGTCTGCCCACCAGCGGGCGTGGTGGTAGTGGTCTGCTCGGGCGCGGGTGGGGTGGTAGTGGTC